TGCGGCAAGGGCAGCCGGTCTGATGGCCAAGTGCTGTAATGTGCCCAGTGTGGGTACTCCGGGCAATCCAAGCCAGGACTGCTTTGCAAGAGGGGTACCCTTGTGAACTGTCTGTCCGGGGTGGGGGTCGGGTCCCATTAAGCACAACCCTTGGCTAGCCTGAGACAGCAGCTCCACGCTCTAAGTCCTACTCTGATGCCCTTCCGGCACTGCTTCTGGCCATCCTTAACCTCTGTTCAGGGTCCACTCAATGTGGACATGCTAGTTCGAATTAGCAAAATGCTAATTCAAACTAGTTTTTAGGTCTAGCTGCGCTAATTCGAATTAGCTTAGTTCGAATTAACTAATTCAAACTAAGTTAGTTCGAATTAATGCTGTAGTGTAGACATACCCTTAGATTCCTTTGAAAATAACATCTTTGTAAGGCATCCAACACAATTATTCTTTCTAGGGAAGGTCTGTCAGTGTTAACACATTTACATTTTTTTAAAAACTTTTAATCTACATAGCTGATAGCTTTTTGGTTATGAACATACCCCTACCCTAATGTGTACTGTATATCAGTGTTTCTCAATCAGTGGTACGATTACCCTTAGGGGCACTTGAGAGAAGTCTGGGAGGTACATCAACACAACTGAAATTTGGAGAAAACTGAATTTTTGTTTTAAGTTTTCAGAGCTTTATTATTTTAATATTTTTACATCTCCTCTCTGCAGCTCTCTGATTGGCTGCTCCCCTCACAGCCACTCTAGGCAGCTTGGAGGACCCTTTTCCTTGAGCTTTCCTGGGGCAAAGCCAGGAGGCCTCCAGCAAGAGATCTCAGGGCCCAGTGTACCCAGCCACACGCTGTAATGCAGCTAGGCCCTAAGGTAGGAGTGGGCAAAAAGGCCCCCGTGGGCCGGATCTGGCCCACCAAGTGGATTGATCTGGCCCACAGAGGCCCTGCTGCTCCCCTGCCCCCAGGGCCTGATTGGCTTGGAAATGGGGTAGCATGGGAAGTCCCTTCCTGCCCTGCCAGGTGTATGGGAGCCTAGTGGGAAGGCTGGGCAAAGGGGCTTTCCCACCCCCAGACTAATCATGGTCTGAGAGTGAGGTCGCCCAGAGGTATCCTGGCCCTTCCCCTTCTGGCTTAGACCCCGCCTCTTCCTGGCAGGCCAGGGACACTTCAAAAAGCCCCTGGTCCCAAATGATTGCCCACCCCTGCCCTAAAGCCATAGAGAGGTCCTCCTGGGAGGCTAGAGAGGCCCTGGAGTAACTGGCCAAACAGGAGCCGGGGAGGACCATAAAAGAAGCTGCAGGCTCAGCCGCAGCTCAGTTGCAGCCCAGTCCTGAAGGGAGACAGTTAAAAGGGCTGGTGCAACCAGGCACAGCTCAGAGTGGGGAGCTATGGGGACACCGTCTCCATGAGGAGTGTCATGTTAGTGGGTTTTATAACGAGCAGACAGGTCACTGCTGCACCCACGGGGGGTGTTCACCCAAAATGCTGTACAAAGTGGACCATGTGAGGTGTCAAACTAAAGCTTGTGTTCTACTGATTTTGTACGGGCTACTAATGTCCTTGTATGATGTCTATATATGAAGTTATGAATATGGGCTCTGTGCTTGTATTGTAAATGTTCTCTGTCTGGGAGCAAGCAATGTGTAAGGAGCTCTGGTTTTGAGCAATTTGCCCTGAGTGGATGCCCTTAGCGATGCCCAGATCTGGTCTGTCACAAGGAGAAGCCCAAGGGGCAATGCTCTCCTCCTGAGCAGGGAAAAAGATGGAGCATGGATTGGACATGGACAACTGGCAGAGGACACCGGGCCAGGCCCCTGTTAGAGATGCACCCCGGCAGGCGGCTGCGAACACCTGAAGTGGGGCCGAAGGCTGCCTGCAGCAGAGTGGGGGTGCTCGTGGGAGGGGAGTGCCCCCACATCACACACGCCTACAGACACTGGATCTAGGAAGGGAAGCGTTTTAATTTCCTTTGGCCTGAGACGTGGAGCGTTACCCGGCGCCCCCGTGTGGACACGGTCTGAGACTGAGGGACTCCAGCGCTGTGGCTTAACACAGAGACAGTGAAGTGGGATTTGATCCCCGTCTGTCAGCACTGCCACAGGGGGCTGTCTTTTACATGCTCTGCCCCACCTGCTCTGTAAGATCCTGGCTTCCAACTTCCCACTTTAATACCCCAGATGCTTCACCAGGACCTCACGGATTCAGACAGACTCCAGAGATAGGAAGGGCCTGTGGTTTGCTGAAGTCCTTTCATGGGGGTGGAGGGGTGTCCCACAAGCTGGAGAGATCCCCAGCTCACAACACAGGATGACCCACAAATGATGTGGAGTTTGAATACAAGGAGAGACTTAGAATGAATGAGATTCTAGACCCAACTTGCGATGGAGAAACCAAGTGACTCAGGTTAGATCTCTGTGAGAGGTTTTACCAAACAAGGTTCTAGATCTAGCTACTGCTCTGGTGCCAGTAAAACGTGTCACAGATGACTGTCTGAGATTGAAAATATTGATAGATCTAGAATCCAGTGGAATCTGGAGATAGCTGTGAATCTAGAATCCAGGAACGCTCAGAGTTTATGAACAGTGAAACACCTGGAACCCACCAGGACTTAGAACCATTAGAGACCTAACAATGAATGCGGCATGCCAAGTCTTCCACTTTCCCTATGTCCAGGCAAATTCAGACCATCTTCTCTTGAGTGTTCTGACACATTCCTTACACTAGATTCACGCACACTGCTCTCTGGTTCATCGACAAACGCCGCCTTGACAAGGGTGAGAAGAGACGTCCTGAAGACCTGCTTGAACTTCTCCCCCACAAACAGGTAGAGGATGGGGGTGAAACAGGCATTGAAGCAGGACATGACGGTATAAATGACCACGACGGCACCTGTCACCGACTTTGGTACATCCTTGTAGAGCTTCAATCCATAGTAGAGGTGGTAGGGCAGCCAGCTGAGGAAGAAGGAAACCACTGCAGTCACCATGACTTTGAAGGGCTTCCCAGAATAAACCAGCCTCTTCTCCTTCATCTTCAACACCACACGACTGTAGCATCCTACCATAGTGCAGAAGGGCAGCAGGAAGCCCAGCAGAAACCAGATCACAAAGATGGCCAGATGGATCTGTCTCCCCAAATCCAGCATCTCAGCTCTGTTCCAGTCTTCGGAAAGAGCATAGTTGTTGATGCAGGCGATCCTGCCCCCTTCCACCATGCGGGTCTCCCAGAAAGCCAGGTAGGGAGCACTGAGAGCAAAGGAGACCAGCCACACATCCACAGCCAGCTTTCCAGCCCAGCAAAAGGTGCGGTAGTTCTGAGACCAGATGGGATGGTGAGTGAGGATGTAGCGGTCCAGGCTGATGAGGGTGAGCAGGAAGACAGAGGAGAACAAGAGCATGGAGATGCAGGTATTGAGGACTTTGCACAAGGCCATTCCAAAGACCCAGTGGAAACCCAGGAGGACGTAGATGGCGAAGAAGGGGATCAGCAGGGTGATGAGAACAGAACTGGAGACCAGGTGGAGGAACCAGAGCGTGGTCACCGTCCTCCTCATCTTCAGCCCCAGCACCCACAGGTACAGCCCGTTCCCCACCACACCCACCAGTAAGGTGATGAAGAGCAACCCGACTGTGGCCAGGTGAATGGGGCTCACAGCTGCTGGGCTCTGGCTGGAGTTTGCCTCTGTGGTTGATGGGAGGGTGGTGTTGCCATGGTCCATGGTGCCCTGGGGAGAGACAGAAGAGGGGCTGGAAGGAGGACAGAGGAAGAGAAAGGGAGTGAAAGAGGAGAAAAGGAGAAATACCAAAGGGGTTAGGAGCACACACTATTGTAGGGGACTTCTATGGACCCCTCTGTTCATTGCAGGAGGAGTAATGTTAGTTTGAATTAGGAGCTTTAGTTTGAACTTCCTAGCCCGTGCCGCGTGTAGCCACGGGCAGGTAGTTCGAACTACAGGGTATTTAAAAATGGCAGCACCCGGGAACATGCAAATGAAGCCCGGGATATTTGCAAGTTCATTTGCAAGTTCGAATGACTACATTAGCTACCCTAGTCCAAACTAGGGTGGCTAGTGGAGACATACCCTGGGCTTTTTTGATTACAGGTAAATTTTCCTGTAGGTCAGTTCAACTTAACTTCAAGAGGTTTCATTGCATTATATCATAAATTAACTAACTACAGACAGCTGATGTAATATGCCTTAACCAACAGTTAATTCTTGCAGTTTTTTTCTGAGAAATTACTCTTTGTGATGTTATTTTAGACTCATGTTAGGTTAGGATTACTTCTTCTGTCGTGTTCCACTGCCTCCCCCTCTCTCTCTCTCAGCTCTCTTCTGCCTTCTGCCTCTCTCACTTTTTCTTCTCCCCCTCCTGCCTCTCACTCTCTTTCCGCTCTCCTCTGTCTCCTTCGGGGATGCACGCTTGTCCAGACTCTGTCCCCTGGGCATATACGTTACCACCCTGCCCCCCCTTCACCTCCCAGCATGGCACTCGGCTGACTTCTGCGCCACTTAGCCGGGCTGCCATGCAGGAGCAAGCGGCGCAAACAGCCTCTCTCTCTCTTCTCCTCCTACTGCCTCGCCCTCTCTCTCTCTCTCAGCTCTCGTCCACCTCCTGCCTCTCTCTCCGTCTCTCTCTCTTTCTCTTCTCTCCCTTCCGCCTCTCTCTGTGTTTCTCTTCTCCTCCTCCTGCTGCGTCTCTCTCGCTCTCTCTTGCTGTCCTCTGCCTCCTCTCCGCCTCCTCCATTCCCCTCTCTGTCTCCTCCGTGTCCTCTGTGTCTGCTCCGCTTTTCTCCCTTTGAATCCGGGGCCCTTTCCTGACGTCGGGGATGCAGGCTCGTCCAGGCCAGGCCCCTGGCTGTTCCCTCTGGGTGGTGCTTTTTCCTCCCACTGTGGTGCATGGCTGACTTCTGCATCACTCTGCCAAGCCGCCACGCAGGAGCAAACAGCGCAAACGGCCGTTTGGGCCCCACGCTCCCCATGCAGGACCCTTGTGCCGCATGGGGCGCGCGGACCCCGAATGGCCACTTGCACCGCTTGCTCTCGTGTGGCGGCCTGGCTGAGTGGCACAGAAATCAATGGAGCGCCATGGTGGGAGGAAACAGCATTGCCCAGAGGGAACAGCCAGCGTTTCAGCGTTACAGAGTCACAGACACTGGGCTACTATATATATGACTAGCACGTCATAAGATGGGATTTTCAGGTCTCCCTTCAACGTCAGTCTTCTCGCCTGAGCCTCCGGTCTCTCTCTCTCTCTCTCTCTCTCTGTCCTCCTACTGCCTCCCCCTCTCTCTCTCTCATCTCTTCTGTCTTCTCCCTCTCTCACTTTTTCTTCT